AAAATTTTGGTTTTTTTTTTTGAACTCTTCGTTTGTAAAATATTTTACTCTTACTTTAATATGTCTTTCCGTGATTGTCTAAACTTTCCTGTTTCAAGGATGAAACTATCAAAAATAAGTGGAAGGAGGATTTTGAGTGAAGAGTAAAGGATTCTTAGTGGGACACATGAGAAACTTGAGCAATCCTGGTAAAGAAGAAAGCTGCAGCAGCGATACGAGAAAAATTGTTGGTTGCTTGCACTAATGGTTGCCAGTTCTTGGTATCTTTGAGCCCATCAGATGTGCTCAACGTTTGGTGAGGAAATTTCGGGGAAGAACAATGGAAGCCTTGGGAGCAGTTTTTGTTCCCTGATAGTTTTTTCTTTCTAATTTGGAGCCAAATTTCAGAAAGTTTCTGTTTGTAAAAGTACGCTTTTCTTCTTTATTTTTTTCTTGAATTTTAGTCGTTTATTTGTTTACTGTTTGCTGTGGCAAGACAGTCGTCAAATTCCTGATATAAGTGTCAGCAGTGAAAAATTTTTTTTGCAAAATTTACTCAGTAGATTGATAGTGAAATATGAAAATGGAGTTCAGAGGAAATGCATGAGAAGTGAGTAAGAATGAAACTATTGTTACCAACGAAGAGATTTTGACAAAACTTTTTTCAAGAAAATAATTTTTGATTTTATCCGCCTCTCATCAACACATTTGTCTGTTTTTCGATTTCTGCGAAGTATTGAAGAAAACGGAACAAGAAGAAGCTAGCTTTTTGGGCAATAGCATTAAATACTGCCGCAAATTATCAACTGCAATTTGAAGCTTCGAAAAGCGCAAAAAGTTTAACCAAGTAAGTAAGCATAACTGAATAACGTCTAGTTTTGGTTGACGACTTAGTCAGAGTGAGCCGTTAGCGACATCAAAAGTGGAAAATTGTTTGTTCTTCATCTAAAAAAACTCACAAAGTCTAATGTTTTTGAAGAAAATGCTTTGCCATGTTGTGTTTGTGGTAGTAAAATTAAAAGCAGCATAACCCAAAACTACAAACAACAAATTGTTAGGTGTTAGCTGGAAGTTCAAGGTAATTAATTCATTTATTTGTGTTCAGAGGACGTGCTAAACCACTTGCTGTAAATAAGAATTGTTGGTTTTGGACTGTTATCTAAGTTCCTTACGTATATTTGTATTTTGGGAAAATTCAGCGCTGAATGGATTCTGGATATTGTCTATAAAATTCAAGGACTACCGTTAAACCAAGATTGAATTTTTTGACTCATTTCTATTTAGTAGCTGAGCAAATGAAAGCTTATGATAATGTCTGTCCAATTTTTGTTAAATCACATACTGGTTTTCACACTAATTTTTAGAGTTTGTTTTTTGAACAATTAAGGTTTCTAGATGTGCATAGATTTAACGTTTTTTACGAATTATTTTCTTCTCTTGAAACATCTGTGTTTTTTTTTTTATTTGGAGAAACTTATTTGGATTAGTTTTTTTTTTTTTTTTTGCTGTCTACAATCTTTCTTTAGACAGATATATGACAAAAGTGGGAAAGCAATTGTCGCGGAATTAGCTTGGTTCTTTTGCGGCTTTTCTTTTTTTCTTCTTTCGGTTTTATTACTGCAGTTGTATATGGGTATCCTTTATCAGTTGTTTGGGACGAGAGAGGCACTGGTTGGGTGTTTTATTGTTTTACGGGCTCTTTCAAACCATACAATCATTTTTTTTTTCAAATTCTTCAATAAAAGTTGTTTCTTCAGCTCGTCTGTTAGACATTTCCTGTAGTAAGCAGTAAAGAAGAAACAGAATTATCAAGAGCTTTCGTCAGTGATTTAGGGGGGTATCATCTGTGGTTTTTTGCTGAATTAATTAGAACTGTTGAGGGATTCTGGATTGTGTTTAGGTTCTTTTTTAAACAACACTGACGGTGTGCAGCTATTCTTTATTATAACCGCATTGTTGTTGACGTTTATAAGTTCGATATAAGAATTATTTCTTTGTAGTTAGTTTTTTATTTTGCAAAAACTCTGTACTTCTCCAACCAAAATTTTTCTTCACTCTTAGATTTTTTTTCTAAGACGGTAAAGTTGATGGCGTACAAGTTTATATCATATTACGTAGTTTTTTTCGACAAAATGCGCTTTTTTCTGCTAATCTTTTATCACTAAATCATGATCAAAAAACAATAGTCTTTTGTCTTTTTGAAATATTTTGTTATCAGTGAAACTTTTATAAGTTTAATAATTTAAAAGACATTTATTTGTTTGGCGTCTTCTTTCTTTCTTTCACAGCATTCAATTATGGCAATAGGTAATAAAACAATTAGGTAATTTTCGCTTCTTTATTAGGCTTTCTGGAGACGGAGGCGACTTCAAGGAGTTAGCGATATCTTACAGATTGACAGATTCATCTTATTCAGAGCATCGGCAAGCTAAAGATTTTTTAGACTTTTTAGATTAGCGTCTATCAGGTGATACGCCAGAAAATTAGCGAGGTACAAATGCTACAGGTTGTAAATCGTGTCCTTCTTTTCTTTTCCAATTTCCGCTAAACAACCTTAGCTGTAAATTATCGTCAAGGGGTAGCTGATAGTTTACATCGACTGAAAGTGGTTGTTGGATGTTTCAGAAGCAGTCATAGTTTTTCTTCTATTAGCTTTATTCAATCTGTTGTTTTTATTTTCAGCGTGTTTTGTCATGACCAGATTTTTTTTGACGTTGTTGATCATGTTGATACATTTAAAATCAAGAGGATGGAATGAGTTTCTTCGTTTTTTTTCTTTATTTTTAATTCTCTCTATTGTTTTATAAATAGAAAAGGCAAGAAAACTGAAAGAATTATAGCTTTCTGTTTTTGGAGTCATTATGAGTCTGCTGATATATGTAAATAGTTTTTTGAACTTGTTGGCTTTTTTTCGAGATGGGTAGGAGGAATTGAGTTCAGTGGCTTAGTTCGGTTCTAAGAGTCTCGCAGAAAAAGTGCTTCTGCAGTCAGCTGACAAATGATGTTTTATGTATTTATTTATTTATTTTTTGGAAGGAAGAAGGCGATTTTTTCTTTTCTACCATCATTGTTCTGCAAAAAACTTTACGGAAACGGATTTGTTTTGCGTATATCTGTTTCATATCACCCGTTCTGCGTAGGAAGTAGTACTTCTATATTTTTTCAGAGATTTTCATAGCAGTAAGAAAAGGCTGATAAAAATGGAGGAAGAAAAATCAAATTTGGTAGCATTAAATGGACTGAAAATAAAATTTAAAATTGTGTTGATTGTTAAACTTTTATCTTCATATATTCTCTTTATTCTCTCCCTTTATGTCTTTAGTGCTTCTTCTGAATTTTGTTCCTCTATTCTGGTCCAATATTGTTCCCCTCATTTTGCATCTTTTTGGTAGAACTCTTCCACTTGATCACCGGTGGTTGAACAGGTTCATGTTAGCTTCTTATGAACCTATGACATCGATGGTTCTCTGTTTTAGCACATTTCGATACTTTTGTATCGGTATTTTTGGTACTTTCAGTCAGTTCAACCGAACCTGTCAAATTTTTTTTCCTTTTGCGCCCAGCTCTTTTTGAAGATAATTTGTTGATGAGGACCATTACAATTCTCTTTCATTTTCAGTTGTTAGTCGTTTTCATGACATATATAGCTTTAATGACCTTAATTGCAACCAATAATGATTAATAATAATAACGGTAAGTGACAGATTTATTGGCGTTGATTGCAAAAGCATGGAATAGTCATTGAAGACAGACAAAAGATACAGTTGTTTTGCTGTCTCTTCTTATTTGCTCATTAGTAATTCAAAGCCTACATCTTTCAGTATATGGAAACAGAACATTAAGTTCTAACATTTTTTTGGATTTTGTTGCAAAAAAATTTCTGCACCAATTAATTTATTGGGTTGGTTTCTCTGTCCTTCACTAATACGGTATCCTACTTAATTCCCAAACAAATGCTTGCTTTCATCACCTTTGCTTAATTGTTCCTTTCATCAACCTGAATTAAACCGTTCGTAACTTCTGCTTCCTCACTAGTCTCACTAATGTCCTGAAACTTTCAACTATTTCTTCTTATAATTTTTTTTGTCTGTTTATTTTCGAAGATGCGAGGAACTGAATACAATTTTCTGTTATTTCAGTTTGTGTTATGGCTTCACGAGGAGATCCGGGAACTAACAGTCACCTTAGCGGACTCCAGACGCCGAGACAGATGAAAAAGGTTAATTAAGGCTTCAAGTTTAATGAAACAATAAAGTGTTAAAATTACTATACTTACCACTGGAAGGGATATCGTTCAGTTGTAATTAAATAAATTATGACGATTTGATATAAATCTCGACAATGATATGTATTGAAATATTTATTATTTTTAGGTTTCTGTACCTCTTGTACCTGATATTGGTGATATGAAAGTGAAACTTGCCAACTCGGCAAACGGCGATCATTGCTCGTCAAAAAGTTCTTCATCTGGGCACTCACGAGGTTCAATTATGACTCCCGATAAGGCATCTGAAGATCAAAATTCTTGCTATAGTAAGTGGCTGCTCGTTTTGCTCTTTGATTAAGATTGAGAATTAAGGTGACGAAAATTCTTTACATTTTGAAAGGTTTCAATTTAAAGATGTCATTGATTCAACAATTCGACTTTCTTGTAAACATTACGTTAGTCTTCATATTTTCCAGGCTCATTATATCGTCCAAGTACGCTTCAACCGTTAAACAACGATCGTTATGGAATCTACACAAATTCGAGTTTTAAATGTCACAAAAGGGCTCCAGGTAAAGTAGCATTAATTGCGACCTTTTTGATTTAAAGCTTCTCTAGACGGGTGGGGCGGAGTGTAATAATTTACTTTCTGGTCATCAGTGAGAAGTTTTTTACTGGTATTAAACGAAGAAAGCTTATTTATTTTAAACCGCTGATGAAAGCAAAAAACAGTTAAGAAAGAAGGAAGTTTTTACTTCTTATATATACTTTCTTTTCATTTCATTACTTCCTTATCAGTCATTTCTTGCTTTATCACTTTTTTTGCCAAAGTAAGGCGTAACCAAAGAGAGCTTTACAGCGTATATCATTGTCACCAAGAATTGTCTGTGATTACTTGTATTCCAAAATGAAATAGAAGTCAGCCAGAAAGAATAATGTTCTTGATAATTTTCGACTTTTTTAAATGTGCATGCTGTTTGTGAAGAAAATTTTGCTTAATCTGTTTAGTTTTAGTGTTAGACTAGGTGAAACCAACAAGCTGCGATTTTGTATTTGC